GTAGCTGAGGACAGATTTGAACTAGGTCTTCCTGACTCTAGGTCCAGTGCTGTAGCCACTGTGCCCCCTAGCTGCCTTTGGGGGCGGGGGTTATCCAGATGTGGCCCAAATATTTCCATGACCCCTAATTCCACTGTTGTAACTTCATCCCTTTTTTGACCAATCTCTCAGTTTCACTGAAGACTAGCTCTGCTTTCACCAGCATTAAATTTACTTTGGAAATCAACTAAAATGAATGGAAAGAAAGTCCATTTCTCTGCTGGAAGCCATTTTGTGGGTGTGTGGGTGTTTCATTGTAGATATAGATATTGGAGTCTCCATGGAGATCTTTGCCAATTAATGTTGCCTTGGAATATGGAAAGCAATGTGAGAGAACAATCAGTGTTCGCAATTATCTATATTCATACAATAAGTGTCTTAGAGGAGAAATGTTGGTTTTCCATTATTTAGCAACAGGAAACCATTCAAGTCAATTAAAGCAAATCTTCTAAGGATGGCACTTCAAGAACAAAATTGAGCTTTCTTTCAAGAAGAAAATTAAGCTTCTTTATCCCTACTTACTTAAATTTCAAAGTACTTTTATGGATCCATGATCTCATTCATATCAGCACAGTCCTCTCTCCCCCACCCAATGAGACAGATCTCAACCTATTTATACTTTCTCATTCTGTTCATGAGCTCTCATAAATCTTTCCCAAGGGATCTGTCCATTGTATGGTAGGCCTTCATCTAGATCAGAGGTTCTTAACCTCTGGTCCTTCAGCACTTTTTTTTTAATATTTGGAAAATTACATTTCAGTAGGATCCATTTCCTTTGTAATCCTATGTATTTTCTTTTAAGCATTAAAAAATGTATTCTAAGAACAGGTCTTCACCAGACTGCCAAAAAGGTGTCTCTCTCTCTCTCTCTCTCTCTCTCTCTCTCTCTCTCTCTCTCTCTCTCTCTCTCTCTCTCTCACACACACACACACACACACACACACACACACACACAAGAACCCCTCCTCTAGATCTATTGACATGGCATGGGTACCAATGGAATACATAGGTTTTCCATCATACATTTCTCTGTTAATTTCTTTTCCTCTACTCCTCCTATGTAAATTGGTAATGTACTGCCCCCTACATATCCCCTCTATGCATCTTTCCATTGCCTTTTGAGTGACTTAATTCTATTGAAATGCATTATTCAAATATTTTTTAAAAGCATTTAAGGACCAGAGGTTAAGAACCTCTGATATAGATGAAGTCCTGCAACTTTAATTCACGCAGACCATTGTAAGCCAGAGTTTGCCTCCCAAGAGCCATCACTCTGAGTTATAGTGTTCTTGAATAATAACAATAATTAGCATTCTTATGGCACTTTAGATCTGCAAAACACTTTTTCAAAAATTTTCTCATTAAATCCTCAGCATAATTCTGGGAGGTAGATTATTATTATCCCCATTTTACAGATGAGGAAACTAATGCAGGCAAACTTTAAGTGATTTGCCCAGGCTCACACAACTAGTAAGTATCTAAGACAGGATTTGAATCCCGATCCCAGGTGTAGTGTTCTACCAGATGGGCCACCTATCTGCCTGGAGTACCTTAACTAAGACAGCTATGCTACCTGTGGACCCAGAAAGGCTGGTGCTATGAGCAGGCTATGCTGGAAGCTGCCTGAGAGCTAACTCTATGCAAGGTAATGTGTAATCCACCCATCACATGAGTGCAGAAGACATTGCCCCCTGTGCCCTCTCATCTTTTACCATTCTTGTTTTTTCATAAATGCTCCATAGTTTCTACCAGACCAAAATAAAAGAGTAAATGAATAAATGAATGAGCACTTGTTAATTATATGATTCTCTAAATATCTCTCACCCTTCATATCTGTTGCCAAGGCCTATCACTTTCTCTTGAAAGGCCTTTTCAATATCGTTCGAATATGCCTCCTCTCCTCTGATGCTGCCCCCTTTTAGTACAGGCCCTTATCATCTCATGCCTAGATTACTGCAATAGCCTGCCTCAAATCTCTCCCTGCTCCAATCCATTCTCCATTCAGCCACTAAAGTGATTTTCCTAAAACTCAGGTCCGATCATGTCACTCCTCTACTCAATAAACTCCAGTGGCTCCCTATTGCATCCAGAAGCAAATACACAATGCTCCAGTCAGAGTTCAAAGCCCTTTATAACCTATGCCCCTCTTACCTTCCCACCTTACAGCACTCCCGTGTACTCTTCAGTCCAGTGACACTGGACTCCTTGACGTTCCTCAGATAAGATACTTCATCTCTCAGGTCTAGGATTTCCTCTAACTGTCCCCCATGCCTGGAATACTCTCCCTCTTCTCTCTATCTTCTGGTTTCCCTGGCTTCCTTTAAGTCCCAGCTAAAATCCTACTTTCTATAGGAAGTTTTTCCCAATCCCTGTTAATTCTAGTGCCTTCCTTGTTCATTATTTCCAATTTGTCCTGGATATAGCACGTTTGTCCATAGTAATTTGCATGTTTTCTCTGTTAACAGATTGTAAGCTCCTCAGGGCAGGGACTGTCTCTTGTATTTTTTTATATCTCCAGCTTTTACCACAGTGCCAGGCACATAATAGGCACTTTAGAAATGCCTATAGACTCCCTTTCTCTCTCAGTATGCGACCTATGCATTCCCTTTTCTACTGATGCATGGATTTTATGTTTTGTATCAGACTTCTTAGATGTGAGTTATCTTTGATAACATGCTGCTGCGTGATTAGACCCACCGTGCATGACTTTTGGGTCACCTGCCTTGACTCTTCTATGATTATGGTCATCTTCTATGAATACCAGCCAGATGCTATCACCAAAAGAATATTTCCGCCAAAAGAGTATTTTAACACAAATCATGTTGGGACTATTTAAAACCCAGGATCATTTCCCAAGTGTGATCTAGCCTGATCATTTTCTCCAATTCAATTTTGAGCCTGTCTGTCTGTAGCATCTATCCAAGATATATGTCCTTATATCCACCTAAATGCTTGTCACAGTAATCTGGGCAGAATACATTCTTAATCCACCTTGATTTTCCTTCTTGGATCTTAAGGATGACTTTGGATCTCATTGAGAAGGTCTCATAGTACACCTGTAGTGCAAATTGTTCCTTCAACTTTAAGGTTGTATATGGCATCTGGTTTAATTTCATCAATTAATCTAATTAGCATAAGCAGTTAACCTCTGTCTACTGGCAGGTAGTAAATTCTCATCATCTTCCATTCCAACCTGGGATAACTAAGTTGTCACATTGAAAGAGAGATAGAAATAGAGTCAGAAGACTTGCGATCTAGTCCTGGCTCTGACACACACCACCAAGTACATAAAATCAAGCAATTCACTTCATATTTCTGAACTTCAGTTTCCTCATTGGTTAAAAAAAAGCAGGGGGGGGGTGGGCCTAAAAATCCTTCCCTTACCCGCCTCAGAGAGAAAATATATGTAAAGTGCTTTTTAAATTATAAAATACTATACACACAAAATTTCACATACAGTCCTTATCCTCTCCTCCCATTCCATAATTTGTACAAGGTACAGATAACTAAGCCTGGAGGGACACTCTAAATATCAGGAGGTGGCAGTGGAGAGTACTGAGACTATGATATTATCCCCTCAAATGTCACCTTCTATTGTTCTTTGAGTCTCTTCTATTGCAATGGCTCCAAGGTATCAGTGATAACGATGCTTCCTTAAGTAGTGCAGGATTATAACCCATCCATATCTGGCCGTCTTTTCCAGTTCTTGTCTGTGTCCATTCCTAAATCTACTATGGAGGGTACAACTAGGACCCTTTCATCCCTATATCCTTTCTATTGTTTCTCTTGCAGAGTTCTTCATTGGTGATATGTTGCATCCTATTCATGCCCACCCTGTCCCTCTCCATTGGTCTGTGAGTGACTCACATCTTTAACATTTCAGATTCAGGGTGTGGAGATGAATGTCACTTTGGATTAAAAAGGTCATGCCCAGGTTGTCACCTAAGGTGATGAGGTAGAGAGTCAGAAAGCCAATTTTTGCATATGAACACCTAATAGAGGAGTACTTAGGTATCAAGATTTGTTTATTTTTTCCCTTGGACAGGGTTGATTCATTCTTCCAGACTCGTGGTCTCCTTCACTGAACATAGTAGACTGAATTATTTTGCAAATGAATACCAAACAGAACAACAACCTTTTGAGAAACGCATACAGGTGAATAGACTTCAAATATGGACCATGAGGAAAATCTAACCTGGAATAGTGGCACAGTCATGGAGACCATGTGGTAGAGAGGAAAGAGCGCTTTACCTGGAGTCAGGCAAGCACTGGGTTCAAATTTCACTTCTGACACCTACTACCTATGTGACCATGGACAAGTCACGTGACCTCTATAAGCCCCAGTTTCCTTATCTATAAAATGGGTTAAAAATACGATAGTGTTGCCCTCAAGTGATATGTATAATGGTAGAGGCAATGTTGCATGATGCTCTAGTCGTTCTGGAAGTCTGTAAAGACCTGTGCTCCAGTCCCACTTCTGACATATGCTTTCTACATGACCCTGTGAAAGTCACTTAATCTCTTAGTGCCCCAGGCAATTCTCTAATACTCTAAATTGCAGAGAAGATCCAACCTTAATTGGTAGAGGGAGCTTCCTCTTCAGGAATGCCCTAAACCAATAAAGTCACTGGAGCAGTCACCCAAAAAAAAAACTTAATAATGAATGTAAATTAATGTAAAACTGATAATGAATGTAAAGAGCTTGCAAACCTTAAAACATTGTATAAATGTCAATCACTATCATTAGTTTGTCCATCTATAAAATTGGGCTAATAATACATATTGTACCTAAGAGAGTTGTTATGAAGATCAGATGAAATAATATATATAAAACATTTTGTGACTTTTCATATGAGCAAAGGATCATAGATATAGAAATTGAAGGTACCTTAGAGGCCATCAAGGCCACCCCCCCTCATTTTAAAGATGAGAAAACTGAGGCTTATAGAGGTACGCAGATTTGTATGGAGTTACATAGCAATATGTGTCTGGGGCAGGATTGGAAACACTATTATTGTTAAAACCACGAGATGAGGAGTTTCTGTTAAAGGAATATTTCCCAAGCCTGATGGATGTTTAAAGGTTTCCTAGTCTGATGGCACTTGAATATCACACTGTTTGAGAGATCTTCATTCGGTTAAATAACTTCTTCAGAGCCTCCTTCACCTCCTTGTTCCTCAGGCTGTAGATAATGGGGTTCAGCAAAGGGATGGCCACTGTGTAGAACACAGACACGATCTTATCCTTCTCCAGTGTATCATCCATGTAACCCCGTAGATACATGAAGATGAGGGTCCCAAAGAAGAGTGCCACTGCAGTCATGTGGGAGACACAGGTGGAGAATGTCTTGGCCCGCCCACCAACAGAGGGGATGCGTAGTATAGCCCTGATGATGAACAGGTAGGAGATGAGAATAATGCTTATACTAGTCATGATCACTACGAAGGCAAAGAGGGAAGCAACCAACTCCTGGAGTCCAGTTTCCGTGCATGAGAGCTTCAGCAGTGGAGGTAAGTCACAAAAGAAGAAGTCCACTTGATTAGATTTGCAGAAAGAGAGGGAGAAAGTGATACCTGTACGGACCATGGTGTTGACCATGGCCCCAGAATAGGCCCCCATCACCAGTCCAAGTCGGGTTTGTGGAGTCATGGCTGTGACATAGAGGAGGGGGTTACATACTGCCACGTAGCGGTCATAGGCCATCACAGCTAGCAAGAAGCACTCGGTGCTGGCATAGAGCGTGAAGAAGAAGAATTGGGTGGCACATCGCTCATAGGTGATTGGGGTCCCACCAGTCTTCAAGGTCTCAAGCATCTGGGGGATAATGACAGAAGAATAGCACACATCCAAGAAAGACAGGTGGCTGAGGAAGAAGTACATGGGAGTCTGGAGACGAGTGTCCCTCTGGATTAGAAATATCATGCCCAGGTTGCCACCCAGGATGATGAGGTAGAGACTCAGAAAGATGAAGAAGAGGACCATCTGCACCTCAGCCCCCACGGTGAACCCCGTTAGGACAAACTCCTTCACCACAGTGCCATTCTCCTCCATCAAGGCAAGGAGACTTCTCTGTGAAGAGAAAAAGAAGGATGTCACAAAGAGAGAGGTGATCACTTCCATTTAGAATCCTAGCTGCAGACCTCAGAGGCCAGCTAGGCCCACCTACTCATTTACATATTAAAAAACTGAAGGCAGGGAGGTTAATTAACTTGCCCCATATCACACAGGTAATAAATGTAAGGTGGGATTTGAAGCTGGATCCTCTGACTCTGAGATGGTACTTACTCCTCTGTACCAGGGCAGGGGAACAGATCATCATCCCTCCTTTAGTGACAAAGAAAATGATTCTCAGGAAAGTGAGGCAGCTTGCCCAAGCCCCCACAGATGGGAAGTAGCATATCTGGGATTTGAACTGATTTCAATGCTGCCTTACAATTCAGTCCACTTTCCACTCTCTCCATTTTACTGAGAAGGCAATGGAGACTCATAAGGGTGAAATAATTTGGCTCATGTCCCAGCTACCTAGCAGTAGCAGGCCCTTAAGCTCAACTCCTTTTAGGTAAGATACATCAGCATTCCTCATTTTACCGAGAAGGAAACTGAAGTTCAGAAGATGGCAAATAACTTGCCCAAGACCACACCTGTGCTGAATGGCAAAACAATGGAAGAACTCAGGTCTTTTAACTCCAAGCCCAGTGCCCTTTCCACTCAATCACAATGGCGTGATAGGTTGGCTTGGGCAGTCTTGATGCCCAGGAAGACCTTAGATTAATTATCCTTCATTAACTCCATAGCAGATACCTTAGGCAGGCACCTGAGGTCCACTTTGATGGGGAGGCTAATCAGGTTAGGGTGGCCTTTGAGAAAAGACTCAGCTTCACTTCCAACATGGCCTTCCTAACCATCCAAGAAGATAGTGTACTGGTCCTAAGTGAACCTAACTGGAACTGATTGGACCTAACATAATAGGACCTAATCGGTCCTAAAACAAACATTGAAGTGATTTTTATGAGTATGCTGTGCTAGACGGTGGGGGATAGAAACACAAAAAGACGCTGCTCCTCAATTGTCAGAAGCTTACAATCTAATGGGGGGTTGACATGGGACACAGGAAATTTAAAGGCCAATCTAAGTGTGGGAAGGGCCTGCTGAGGCAGCTGGATGTCATGACAGAAAGAGGAGACTTGGAGTCGTGGGAGCAGAGTTCAATTCCTTACTCTGTTACTTACTACATGTGTGACATTGGACAAACCTCCCTAGACCTCAATTTCCTTATTTATAAAATGAAAAGGTTGAACCATTTCACCTCTGAATTTCCTTTCCTTTCTATATCTATGATCCTATGATTCTCTAAAGTTGAAAAAAAGAAAATGGGACAGTGAAGTGATACTGCAGTGGATAGAGTGCTGGACCTGGAGTCAGGAAGACTCATCTTCCTGAGTTCAAATCCAGCCTCAGACATGTACTAGCTGTGTGACCCTGGACAAATCACTTAACCTTGTTTGCCTCAGTTTCCTCATATATAAAATGAGCTGGAGAAGGAAATGACAAGTCACTCCAGTATCTGCCAAGAAAACCCTAAATGGGGTCATAAAGATTAGGAAATGAGTTAACACGTAAGGAAAACTTTCCTAAAGGGAGCTGTCCAAAATTAGAATGGGTTGGCTCCAGAGGTAGAGTGTTTCTCTTTTCTAAAGTCCGTGCCTGAATGATGTCACGTCATGTCACATCACATCATGTCAAGTCAGTCATGTCACAACATGTCGTGTTATAGTAGGGATTCTTATTTGCGTATGGCCCAGATGCTATGGCCTGCAAGGTCCCTTCTGATGCTGAGATTCTATGAGTCTCAAGATGCCAGATCATTTTAAGTGCACCTACAACTGTTAGGACTTTAATGAGATTCTTCCATTGTGTCAGACAGGGATGTTAAGGGAAGGGGGCAGGGAAAGGGAAAGTATACATGTATAAGAGAAGTACTTTGGCATAATGGACTAAGCTCTGGACCTGAATTTAGGGAGATTTGAATTCAAATCCCATCTCTGACACTTATAGTCACATGAACATTACCAAGTACTTAAACTATCCTAGAATCAGTTTCTCCATCTAAAAAATGGGGATAATAACAGCAGTTGTTTCACAGGGTTATTGATGTGATCAAATGATATGATAAGAAGCACTTTGCCAACATTCAAACCCTATAGAAATAAAAGGTGCTGTTGCTGTTCGAAGCTATGGCAGATGTTTTCCCTGAGCTGCCCAAGCAAAGCCAAAAGGCCAGATTTTGGTGTCCTAGTCCTGGTTCAGAGGACATGGTTTGTTTCACTCAGGGTGAGGTCTGGAGGCACAAGCCTTATTGACAAGAAACAAAAGCCAAAGCATTCCTGAGTCAGCCTGGGAGGATAAAAGGACAAGATGAACCTTCCCCACAGCACAAGGTTCGAATACAGCTGGGGCTGCTGCCAGCTGAGAGACAATTCTGTCCTTATACCTTGTGGATACAGAGAAGCTGGCATCAAATGGTTGGGGAAAGAGCAGAAGCAATTGTGAGGGACCCATCACTCCACCCCACCCACTGCTCTCAGAGGATGGCTTACATAGGACAGGATTTCATACTATTAGAGGAAGAAATGAAAACTTTGTTTTTCAAACCCCAATAGTTTTGTTTTACTTTTTCTTTGTTAAGCTTTGGCAAATGCTTTGCTCTGTTAACAAAAAGAGAATTTTGATCTTGTTCTTTCCTCAGTACTAAAGCCCTGATTTCATTCAAGTGTCCTCACAAAGCATTACTCTCTGAAAGGTCACATGGTCCAAAACAAGCCACCTAAGTCTAAATTCATAGAATCACAGGATCTCAGAGTCAGAAAGGACTCCAGAGGCCATTTCATTCAACCTGTACTTAAACAATGCCCTCTTTCAGCATGAAACATCAGAAGAGCACAGGATGTAAGGTCAGGAGACCTGAGTTTAAATCTTACCTCAGCTACTAGTAAGTCATAATATGTGTGTTTTTAGGCAAATTATATAACTTTTCTGAGCCTAAGTAAAATTAGGAGGGTTGAGGTTATGACTTCTAATGACTTCTAAGGTCCTTTCTAGCTCTAAATGTATGATTCTATGACACTAGAGAAATGGTCACTTTGCCTTTGCTTGAAGACCTCCAGAGATAGGGAATTCACTATGTCTTGAGGCTTATTCCACTTTAGGTTAACCCAAATTGTTAGGAAGCTTTTCTTTATGCAGAAAAGCCCAATGGACTCTGGTTCATTTATGTGGCATTTGCTCCAATGATTTACATCATAACACATCCATGCCGTCCATCCAATGTGTCAGCTATGGATATAATATCCTCTCAAATTTAACAACCAATAACTGTCTTATTAAATACGAAGAGTGTGATTTTAAAAGAGGAGTATTTTTTAAATGATGGAAACCAACCTGTCATATTTAGACAAGATTTTAAAATTTTGTTTTTACCCAAATTCTATTAACCTGTCACATCCTTTCTCTGCACTGTAGTTTTGGGGCCTCAGGTGTGTTTGCATAAAATAAAAGTCCAAATTAATTCAAAACTGAAAACAAATAACATCGATTTGCTCTCCCCCTACTTTTATTTCTCAGACTGGGCCATTTTTTTCAGTAGTTGTGAAAGTGTAATATGCTGCTGGGAAATCACCTGTGATAAAAGCAGCAGTGAATTGCAGCATCAAAGGTTGGCTTATTTCTGGATACAGCCTCTACACAAAGATAAAAATGGCGCCATCTCTGCTTTCATGGAGCCTTCATTGTACTGAGGGGGATGGGTTGATATGCACATTAATAAGTATAATACAAGGTAGAAAGTAAAGGGGGTGAAGAAGAGATGTGACAGACTACCAGGTCATGGGGTTCGAAAGAGAAAACTAAAATAATTTTACAAAACTTAGGGAAGAGATAGTGAAGAACAGTGGTTAGAGACATAGAGAAAACCTGGGTTCCCCTCCTGCCTCTCTCTGACACATGCTGGCTGGTCATCCCATATGAGTCCTTTATCCCCTCCCCTCACCCAGTTCTAGTCAGTTCTAGGTAACTCTTTAAGACCAGACATTTCAGCTAAGGCACAGACTTACATTGGCAGAGGGAGTTTCCTCACCTGAGAGTTCTCTATACCAGTCAAATCCTAGATCTAGTCCTATGCCTAAAGAAATGCCAGTTGTTTTTTTCTTATTGTAAAAGCAAGCACAGCCACACACACCAACATCGCACTGAAATGACTGAGGCCATCTCCTACTCAGAGTGATTCATTCTCTTATGATAGTAGACAAGTGATTCATCAGTGCCCCCAGCATTGGAGGTGATTCGATTACTTCAGGCTAAGCCATACCTTTGTAATGACCCGATACCCATTCCCCTCTTCTCATGTATAATTGGCCTGAGCCAATCAAATCATTCCATTATTCATTCTCACTGCTTGTTCCTTGAGGCAGCTGGGTGATACAGTGAACAGAGCACTGGGCCTGGAAGCAGGAAGACCCTCACACACATACTAGTTGTGTGACTCTGGGAAAGTCATTTAACTCTGTTTGACTCAGTTTCTTCAACCATAAAATTGGGATAATAATAGCACCTACCTCACAGAGTTGTTGTGAGGATTAAATCAGATGATATTTGTAAAAAAAAAAAAGGCTGAGGGGGAGCATTTAGGACAGTGCCTGGCACATTGCAGGTACAACATAAATGCCTATTCCCTTCTCTTCTCCTAAGTGTGAGGAGGTAAGTATGCTAAAGTGCCTCCCCATGTCCATATCAAGAGCATCATAGGCCATTTTTTGAAGCATCAAATCACTTGCCCAGCTAAGATGTTTGAGTTACAGTTTTGACTGTCACTAAACATCTAGGTGGCTTTAGACAAGTTCTTTCTTCTCTCTGGGACTCAGTTTCCTCAGCCGTAAAAAGAGAGTTGGATTAGATCGGAGATACTTAATGTTTTTGTGTTCTGGACCCCTTGGGTAGTCTGGTGAAGCCTACTGGTAAGCCCTTTCCGAGAATAATGCTGTCAAATACGTGTAATAAAATTCATAGTA